TTCTCACTCCACCCCCTCGGAAAGTTTCTCAGCTACTAACCACGCCCCTTTCGAACTTGGCTTCTTCATAGACCCCGCCTCCTTGGGAACTCCTCGGTCTTTCCCCATGGCTCCGCCCCCGGAGGGCGAGGCTCCACCCTCTTCCGTTTGGCCACGCCCACCCAGCCCCTGTGACCACCCCCCACCCTTAAGAAATTACAATGATTTCCAACTCCTCCGCGGCTCGTCCAACCCGGGCTGGCCTTACGCGCCGGGACCAGTGTTCTCGGTAGGGGCGGGGAGGCCGAGGATGGCGGTGGCTGTGACGTAGAGAAGGGTACGCTTCCTCCTTACTGTCACGCTGGGTTTCCTGGAAAAGAGTCCCAGTAGGTGTTGTGGAGAAACACGCGGGAAAACACGCTGTCTTCCTAAGTGCAAGGCGTTATAAGTGGGCAAGGCGGTAGCGGCGGATTTTACTGAGTGCTTACCGTACACCAGAACTGCTCTGCGTGCTTGACTGACGCGCGGGGAGCTAAGCCCTCTGCCCACTTTCAGCTGGCTGGTGAGGGGTCGGGGTGGGAGGCCAGCCAGCAGCGCGGAGTCCGTGGCCTCGGTTGCATCAGGGCGGCCCCGTTAACCCTGATCACTGTGATTCCGTGTGCAGTGCAGTGCATCGGGACCCATTTCACAGACTGATGAGGCAGTGGAAGCCCAGAAAGCCAAGGATGCTCGGGAATGGAAAAGTTTGCACGGCAAAGGTGGGAGTTTCCGGACTGAGTTCCCCACCTCCTCCCGCTTCCGGCCCCAAGAGCGGAGAGACTCCAGGTTTGGCAGAGGGCAAGGGCCTCCTGTCCAGTGCAAGGGCCCGGCGCCTCCTAGTGGTCTCGGAAATGAAAGGACAAACAGCAGTGGAAGCTGGATGAGGAGGGGAGGTGGGGGGTACCCAGGAGAGGCTGCCTATGAAGGGCTAGGAGACAGTAAAATGTTAGCGAGCCAGTGAATAACACCACCACAGTCCGTAAGGAGGGGAGGATGGAGGCTTGCATTTGGGTGGTGGCCGTGGCTGTGGCCGAAAATGGATGGATTTGGGATCAATGCCAGAGGTGGCATCAATACAGCCTTTATTTATTTGTTCAACAAACATTTATTTATGGAGTCCGTGTGTGTGCCAGGGGCTGAGTGTGGGAGGGAGAAGCAGAACACAAAACAGACACAAATTCCTAAAAAGGCAATAAAGAACTCAATACAACCAGGTGTGGTGGTGCATGCCTGTTATCCCAGTGCCGTGGGAGGCTGAGGCAGGAAGATCCCAAGTTCCAGGCCAGCCTGGGCAACTTTAGCGACTTCAACCCTGCCTCAAAATACAAAATAAAGCAGGTTGGGACTGTAGCTTAGTGCAAAGGTCCTGGTTCAATACCCAGTACTGAAAAGAAAAAAGGTACAGTCACCCTCAGTCCCACAAAACTGGGGTGATGTGGTTTCAGGACTCGGGGATTCCAAAATCTGTGGCTACTCATGTTCCTTGTACAAAACAGTGTAGTTTTTGTATACAATCTGTAGTCTGTGCATGGTTAGTATAGACACAATTCTTTTCTGAATATTTTTGACCTGTGATTGGTTGAATCCAAGGACGTGGACACCACAGACAAACAGGGTCAACTCTATAATAAATGTTATTATTATACAGTTGGATGAGGATGGATGGGGTGGGTGGGAATAGGGAAAAGCAGTGATTTGAAACGGGGAGGTTCGAGAAGACCCGTGAGAAGAGGATGGTGGAGCAAAGTTGTTAGGAAGTGAGGGAGCTGGCCATGAAGTTGCCTAAGGTAGAGGGCACAGTTCATGCAAAGGCCCTGGGGTAGGATCAAACCTGGTGCTGCACAGGAGCTAGGAGAAGGCCTGGGTGACTGGAGCAGAGGGAACGAGGGACAGAGAGGAAAGACGGGTGGTGGGGAGGGGACCAGAGGGTCGTGAGGGGCCTTATGGGAAAACAGGCATTGTCTGGAGCAAAGTGGGAGTTGTGGAAGGCTGTTGGTAGCCGGGAGACTCAAGGGCTCACAGGCGCCCTCTGGCTGTTGCAAGGAGGACGGACCGTGAGGGACCAGGGCCCGAGTCGGGGCACCAGGCTAGAGATGATGGGGCCCAAGCAGTCTGGAGGGGCAGAGAGAAGGTGACAAGTGGGGGGTTCTGGGTAGGTTGCAGAAGCGGTTCGCTTGCAAACTGTCCGGAGGGGGAGGAGGAGGAGGAGGAGGAAGGAAGTGAGTCGCCTTGCTGTCTGGTTGGCCTGTCGCCCTCTGGTCCCCGGGCCTGTGCCGAGGGGGAGGAGAGAGAGGCTAGGTCCCTCGTGGAGGGGCGGAACAGGGTTACAGGTGCTCCCCCTGCACCCCACAGCTCCTCCTCCACACCCCTTTCTGGGCGACAGTTACAGGCACAGAAGAGGAAGTGGTAGCCTAGTTG